TCTTTTCGCCTGGCATTTTGGGGGTTCGTTTGTTGTTGTTTTTCCAGTTCTCTGAGGCATGATGATAAGTTATCTACTTGCCATCTTTCCATCCTTTTCTTATGTGCACTAATTGCTATGAATTTCCCTCTTATGACTGCTTTTGCTGTGTCCCATAGGTTCTGGACACTTGTGTCCTCATTATCATTTGTTTCCATAAATTTGTTTATTTCAGCCTTAATTTCTTCAGTAGTGAAGAAGTCATTCAGAAGTAGGTTGTTCAGTTTCCATGTGTTCGTGTGTTTTCGGGGTTGTTTCTTGAAATTAATCTTGAGTTTAATTCCATCATGGTCAGAGAAGATGCTGGGTACAGTTTCTATGCCTTTGAATCTGTAAAGGCTTGATTTGTGTCCTAATATATGATCTATCTTTGAAAAGGTTCCATGTCGGGGTGAGAAAAATGTATATGTTGTGGATGTAGGGTGGAAAGTTCTATAGATATCTGTCAAGCCCATTCCATTTATAGTATCATTTAAGTCCTGTATCTCTCTATTTATTTTCTGTCTAGAAGATCTGTCTATAGGAGATAACGGGGTGTTGAGATCTCCAACAATTATAGTATTTTTCCCTATGTCTCCTTTTAGCTCCAGCAGTCTTTCCTTCACATATTTAGGCGCACCTGAGTTGGGTGCGTAGATATTTATAAGGGTTATATCTTCTTGCTGGATTACCCCATCTACTATTATATAATGCCCTTCTTTGTCTCTTCTTACAGTCTTTGTTTTAAAATCTATTTTGTCTGAGATCAATATCGCTACTCCAGCCTTTTTCTGATTTCCATTTGCATGGAATATCTTTTTCCAGCCCTTGACTTTTAGTCTATGTATATCTTTATCCATAAAGTGAGTTTCTTGTAGGCAACAGATAGAGGGTTTCTGTTTTCTTATCCATTCAGCTAGTCTATGTCTCTTAACTGGGGAATTTAATCCATTGACATTCAATGTAATTATCGATATTTCCATACCTGATCCTATCATTAAGTGAGCCATTTTCTTAGTTGTTTTTTGTTCTCGTATAACTGTCTCTGATTTTTTAGTTTTCCTGGTATAGTACTCCCTTCAAAACCTCTTGAAGAGCTGGTCTGGTGTTGGTAAATTCCTTCAAATTTTGTTTATTTGAGAATGTTTTTATCTTTTTTTCCCATATAAAAGATAATTTTGCCGGGTATAGTATTCTTGGTTGAAATTGTTTTTCACTCAACACTTTGACTATGCTTCCCCATTCTTTCCTTTCCTGCATTGTTTCTGCTGAGAGATCCGATGTTAGCCTGATGGGGTGACCTTTGTAAGTAACCTGGCGTTTCCCTCTTGCCAACTTTAGTATCTTGTCTTTATCTGTTGTTTTTGCCAGTCTGGCTATGATGTGCCTTGGAGATGATCTTCTTGGGTTGATTCTACTTGGGGTCCTCTGTATTTCTTGGGTCTGGATATTTGAATGCCTTTCTAGATTTGGAAAGTTTTCTTCCAGGATCTCATGGAATAAATTTTCCAGGCCCTTATTATTTTCTTCCTCCTCCGGAATACCAATTATCCGAATGTTGGGGCGCTTGATGGTGTCCAGTATTCCTCGTATATTATCCTCATTTTTCATGGTTGTTTTCTCAATCTTCTTGATACTTTTATCTAGGTCAGATGTTTTGTCTTCTACGTTAGAGATTCGGTCTTCTGCCTGGTCTAACCTACATTTAATGCTTTCAAGGGAGGTTTTGATTTCCTCTATCACATTCTTCAAACCTAGAAGTTCCATCTGGTTCTTGTTTAGGGTATCCATTTCTTCTTTCAAGTCATTAAAGGACTTCCTCATCTCCTGGAGCTCCTTGTCTCTTTTCTCTTCCATCTCAGTTAGTTTGGTCACTACAAATATTCTGAATTCCTTATCAGACATGTCCACGACGTCCATTGTATTGACTGTGGGTGATGTAGGATTGATGATTTCCCTTGACGGAGAGGCCTTTTGTTGGTTGCTCATATTTCTTGAGCCTTTGCGATTGTTTTTAGTCATCAGGTAATCTATATGTTTCTTGCCAACTTATTTCAGGTATCTCTGATTCATAAAAGTTGTACAGGCTTAGAAGATTGATGATTTCTCTTATGGTTGGCCTACCTATTACTCACAATTACCATTAACTGTTGCCACTAGCCCTGGAAGGCCCAAAATCCTCGCTGTTTCTAGGGAGTGGTGAGCCTTCAACTGACCAAATAAGCAACACCCCAAGAGCAAAGAAAAACAAAATGGAAAAAGAAAATCGTGCGGTGCGCGTTGCGCGCCGTGCACTACTCAAATCACCAAAATTCAAACAGTCCAAGGGCTAGTGGAAAGGGATCAGACAATGAATGACAGTACCAGGTTGGTCGGGTCTGCAGCCTCAGTCTGACTGGTGTCCGGAACTGCTGGCCGGCTCGATCCGGGTTTCGGGTGGGGAGGGGTGTGGGTTCGCCTTAAAGTCCCAGGCAACCAACCTGGAGTCCAAGGAGGAAGGATGGTGGGGATACGTGGAGTTGCGGTAGGGTCGGGCCTGCAGCCTCAGTCCGCCTGGGGTCCGGAACTGCTGGCCGGCTCGATCCGGGTTTCGGGTGGGGAGGGGTGTGGGTTCGCCTTAAAGTCCCAGGCAACCAACCTGGAGTCCAAACCTGGGGTCCAAGGAGGAAGAACGGTGGGGATGCGTGGAGTTTCGGTAGGGTTGAGCCTGCAGCCTCAGTCTGCCTGGTGTCCGGAACTGCTCTCATATAAAGACTCTTGTAACAAATAGTTCTCAGGACTGAAGATCAGTGAAGACATTTTTTGATGACTTGAAGTGTTCTTTTACAGGATCTGAGTGCTATATTGCCTGTTTAGTTTTTGAGTTTACTTGCTGTCCCAAGACTAGCACAAAATCTCAGCTTTAATCTTAATAGGTCTTCTCAGGACAGGTTATTTTTAAAGAAAGAACAAAATAATATTTTAATTTTTTTCTATTATTTGCTAGCAAATTTTAGCTTTATCAATGACCTGCAGTTATTTTTTTTGTAAGCTGCTTTAATTGAACAATGAAGAATATTACTTTTCATTATAGCCTCTATTTCAGTCAGGATTTTTCAACCTTGACTTTTTCCCACATATCTATGGCACCATCTCCCTTTCCTGTTCACCCTCTCACTAAAGTTATTACCGACCCTATTTCTGAGCAACATTTGGAAAGTGGACTAAAGTAATATTTCTTAAAAGTTCTTAATTAAAAATCCTATTTAAAAAATCTCCTATAATTTTTATGTAATTTTAATCTTAGAAATACTAATGTACATACAAGTATTTTTGATATATCTAAGTTGTTACCTGTCTCATTTTAAATAAATGATTACATATGACCTTAAAATACAATTACTTCATTTTTTAATTTCTTAAGGCTTAACTAGTAATGCAATAAAAAAAATGCCTAAATCACATCATCACTATTTTCAAGTTTAATAAATAGTATGATTCATATGGCTAGCAGTCAGTTACATGCTTCAATTTACCTCATTTCATGTTCATATTTAGGTAAAAGTATCTGTTGCATTGCTAACTAATGTTTAGTTTCCTGATTCTGCGGGTATAGCTGGCATGCACTGCTTAAGAGAAGCTTAATTTGAAGCAAGGCAACCATGCTTCAAATCCCCAGCCCTGTCGGCCTGAAACACTCTGAACCTGTTTGTGGTGCCTATGATCCAATGGGCTGGAAAGACTGGAAGAGGTGATCATGGTTTGATCAGATTTGGAAGAGAGTGCACATGGCTCTCTTTCTTTTTCTTTCTCTCTCTCATGAAAATGAGTGCCCTATTATGAATAAAGGGGGAAAAAGTTTACAAAAAGTTTGTACAAAGTCAAATTTTATGACTCAGGAAACACTAAAATTTGGACATACCATATTTCAATTATTCATAAATACAATGTGGTCAGTGAATGTATTTTAAAACCTTTTAGAAATGTTGGGGCCAGCAAGTAACGTGATGGTTAAGGGCACTGGACTCCTACATGGCTGACCATGGTTCCAGTCCCAGACCTGGCCACTTTCATTCTCACTCCTGTCTCCCTCCCCCTGCTCTCTCTTTCTCTCACTTGCTCACTCTGTCCCTCTCTGGTCAAATTAAAATAAATAAATAAAGATAAATGAAATGATTCTTTAAAAAAGTTTTTGAAAAATGTAGTAAGATACTGATTTTCTCAATAACTTTTCACTAAGGAAAGAAATAATATATATAAATTAATATTTATTAACAGTTCCTCTTTTAATAACTTTTCAAACAGCATTCATTATTCTGGAGTAGTCAGTGGGCCTGCGATGTGGGTATCCATTATTGTAAAGATGCTTATAATACTCAGTTCTCCCCCCCTTCTCATCTCATTCGAAGGAAGTCAGTTCATTTTGGCAATAAACAATTAGTTTGCTTCTTGGCTATGATTACTATCTGTCTGCTTTCAAGGGATCTTCTTTGATTTGCCTAGGTTTGAACTTCAGAAGGAATTGCAAACAGAATCTAGAAAGGAAGGTGGTGTGCAGAAGAGCATAGCCAAAGATGAAAAAGGATTGAATAGGCCCACATAGACACGAATGACCTAAGGGGGGGGTGTAAAAAGATATTAAGAAAACTCTCTTTTAAATTGTCCTGTCTAAAGTTCTGTATCCAGTTGGCATTGTAAAAGTGTGGGGTTTGAAAGTCTTCCTTTCAGAGTAGTGATATTAAATGACACATGCAAACTTCAGCATTTATAGGAATTTAAAAACAGGTTAGATAAGATTGGACATCAATGAAAAACCTTAAATTCTTTCCTCATTTTGATCATTTTGTTCAATTCTGCTTGTGTATCAGACAAAGACTGTTGATACCTTACTTCTGTAGTCACTGAATTCTTTCACTATGATGAATGTTTGCAATTAAGTTCTATTTACACACTTGGTTAATAAAATTATGGAAAATGACTCATTTTTAATTGATTTTTTTCAGGATTGAAAATGCCTAAGCATATTAATTATGGTCAGTTGAATGCATTGTGCCATATTAGAGGACTGCAGCAGGGGTGAGTTATTCCTGCCTTTCTTTTCCTGTCATTCAGATGAATATGAATATGTTTGTTTTAGGGATAAAGTATAGTAATAATCCACTGCTGCCTCTCAGAGCTACCTGATTTACCACACAGATAAAAACATTTGAAAACCTGAAGGCTGTTTCTCTAGATTAAAGGGGCAGAATATATATAGATACGTCATATTTTAAAGAAACAATTTAGAAGGGAACAAACATAACTCATCCTGAGCTGGGTCCTCTCTTGTACTTAAAATGTGATCATAAGGAGAAAAAGTCTTAAATGTTTGAAAACACAAATATTGAGTGAAATAAGGGATGCCTACTTGAAATATCCTGAAGTCAGAGAACTAGGAAATATCCCTGGTCATAGCTCAGGATTCATGAGCTGTGTGATACTTGAAGAAACTAATTTTAGAAATCTATTTTCTTGCCAACTCCTTTCTCCAAGTGGGATTTTTGAAATTATAACTCGTTGTTTTCTTCTACATCCATCAGTGTCCATTCTCTCTCCCACGCTCCTTCAATCAGTGGAAGACTCTGCCTCACCTTTTATGGGATTATTGAGATAAAGCCTTAGGTTTACAAATATTCTCTATGTTAAAATATCTCCAGTCACTTCCTCTTAATTACTTTGAGTTATTTACATCTTCCGCTCTCTTCTCAGTGAATGGGAAGAGGGCATGCTTCTTTAATATATCTTGGATTTCTACTAAAAGGGATTCCATTCCTAATAATTTTAATCAATCTTCTTTTTGCTGGATAGGATAATCCCTCTCAGGTAGAGTTTTCTTATCAGACAGTCATCTGGGTCAGTCCCAGTCTGAGTGTCCTACCTCATTCTCCCTGTTAAATCTTACATTTATTGTGCCTTCTTTAGAGTTTTAGATCTTCCTGACTTGGCTGTATTTTCTCTCACTCTCTCTCTTGTCAGAGAGTATGTATGCTTGCCAGAGAGATGGGAGAGAGAGTATACAACCTCCAATGGGGCATGGTCACCCAAAATCCTTTTTTCTCCATCTCTTTGTCCTGGTTTGGAGCATGCATACACATGCTCTTGGCCTGTGCTTCAGGCTGCCAGGGTTAGGATTCTAACCATGTTCAGCCGTGTGGGATCTGGCTTCCTATGCATAGCACTTAACCACTGTGCTACAGGGCTAACTTGGACATGTTCTCTTAAGGCGCTGGCACACACGGGAGTCTTGGGAGCACAGGCTATAGAGTATCTGTACATAGATTTTGTGCCATTATTTTAGAAAGAAAATATAATATTACAAATAAAAAATTAGATATGAAAATAAATATTTATTTAAAATAAAAAAATAAATTAATGAAGATTTGGTAATCTAGATATTTTTCTTCACTGAGATTTTTTAGTCAAATTGTCAGAAAGAAATTCTTAGAAATTATTCCAGTGGTTTTTTTTTTGAATCACCCAGTTTCCAAATGATTTCAACAAGTGGGGAAAATAGTTAAGTATTAAGTATTCCTCCATATTTGTTACCATATTTATTACTTCTTTACATATTGTATGTTAAAAATGATCAATGATTCTACACTTCTCTCTATACTTTTTCTCACTATTTTTTTCTCTCTATTTTTTTTGAAAGGAGATAACTAAATGACTCAAGGCTTTAAATTTTTATATACAAAACTCACAAAGGACTTGTTTTGACTCTAAAAAATATTTTCTTCTATTAGAGTAAGGGCAATATCTTGGTATATTATCCTGGGATGTTTTTGATCAAAGGTAAGACAAAAATGGAATAACAAAAGGGCAATAGTGTCACTTTAGACTTCTAAAGTCTTGGATGCAAAACTTTTCATCCCTCATAGACTACAAGGTACAACAGGGCATAGAATTTGTTTTATTGCTTGAACTGTCTGCCAGTAGTGAAGGGTTCAAATTGAATTTTAACTTAATGTGCAGTAGAAATAAATACCTTCTTAATACTTCAAAATATGCATGGATATTTTATCTGTACAGAGTATATATAAGTTAAAATAGATGGATATTCATAGTATGATTCTTTTTAGTATTGCGTAGAGAGCTAGTCCTTTTTTAAGTATTACTTTTAGTGGAACATAGTTTTATATGTTTATGGGATAAAATGTGATGCTTGATACGTGTGTACAATTCTACAATACATGTGTAGAATGATTAAATCAAGCTAGGTAACATATAGACCGCCATTTATTTGTTTGTTTGTTTATATGTTTTAAAATTTATTTTATGGTGAGACATTTGAAATTTATTTCCTTGGCTATTTGGAAACACCTTGTTGTGTAGCATATCTCAAAAATTAACTATCTTGGGAACCAGCAGTTAGCGTAATGGCTATGTCGCTGGACTCCCACGTAGTCGACCGCGGTTCGTGTCCCGGACCCGGTGGCTTAAAACTCACGCCAGGCGCATGTGCGTGCGTGCCCAAGATCCCGAGAGGAGAATGGAGGAGAAGGGATTGCGGCGTGACCATCCCCCCTGGGGGGTGATTTCTCGCTTTCTGTCTCTATGTCTCTCTCTGTCTGTCTGGCGAGTGCACGCGCCCTACAGTGAAAATCTCTCAAAAAAAAATTAACTATCTTGGGACCAGCAGTTGGCATAATGGCTATGTCACTGGACTCCCATCTAGTTGACTGAGGTTTGAGTCCTGGACCTGGTGGCTTAAACTCACACCAGGCACGTGTGCATGTGTGCCCAAGACCCTGAGAGGAGAATGGAGGAGAAAGGATTGCAGTGTGGCCATCCCCCCCAGGGCGGTGATTTCTCACTTTCTGTCTCTCTGTCTCTCTCTGTCTTTCTGGTGAGTGCACACACAATATAGCAAAAACCTCTCAAAGAAAAAAAAAAGAAAAGAAAAAAGGAAAGAAAAAAGAAAAGAAAAAAAGTGAACTAACTCAAACTGTGTACTTTGATCAACATGTACTTTTACTCCAACCCTCTGCCTCTGGTAACCACCATTCTATTCTCTACTGTTAGGCAGAAATTTTGAGATTGTATAGTACATGTCTTTTTGTGCCTGGTTTATTTCATTTTCAGGTTCATCCATGTCATTACAAATAAAAGAATTTCCTTTATTTGAAGACTAAATTGTATTCTATTGTGTATATGCACCACGTTTCATCTCTTCATCCACTGACAGCTATTTAGGTTGATTCCATATCTTGACTATTATGAATACTGCTGAAATGAATATGGGAGGACAGATATCTCTCTGATATACTGATTTCAATTTCTTTAGATATAACTGAGAAGTTAATTACTGGATCATATGATAAATCTACTTAGTTTTTGGAAGAAATAAACTTTTCCTTAATAGTTGTAGTAATTTCTATTCCACCATCAATGTATAAATGTTCTCTTTTTTCCACAGCCTTGCTAACACTAGTTAAATTTCATAATTTTTATAGTAGCCAGTAAAATAGGCATAAGATAATATGTCCTTGTGACTGTAATTTGCAATTTCCTAATGAATAATGATGTGGAACATTTATTTATATGCTTCTTGACTGTATGTTTTCTTTTGAGAGATGTCTATTCAGATCTTTTGATCATTTTAAATTGAGTCATTTGTTTTCTTGCTATTGAGTTGGTTGAATTGCCTATGTATTAGGACATTAACTTTTTATCAGATGTATGGTTAGCTATTAATTTCTTCCATTCTGTTTCCTCACTCTTGTTCTTTCTTTTGATTTAAAGAAGCTTCGTAGTTTGATGCAATTCCTTTCATCCATTTCTTTGTTACGTTTACCTTTGAAGTCCTATTCAAGAAATCACTGTTTAAACCTATGTTGTGTTTCTTTTCCAGTAATTTATTTTAATAGTTTTAGCTTTTCAGCTCAGAATTTTCTAGTAATTTCTTTTCATAGTTTTAGCTTTTCAGCTCTTACATTGAAAATCTATAGTACATTTTGAGTTGATTCATACATAAAAGGTAATATAAGGGACCCAGCTTATTCTTCCACCTGTGGTTATCCAGTTTCCCTTACACTATTTACTGAAGAGGCTGTTCTTGCCCATTGTGTTTTTGACATCATTTTTGAAAATCTGTTAACCATAGGTATATATTTTTTTCTGGTTTTGCTATTCTCTTTCACTTGTTGTTGTGTCCTTTTAAGACAATACCATACTATTTTGATTATTATAGTTTTGTAACATGTTTTGAAATCAGGGAATGTGATACTTCAGCTTAGCTCTTTTTCAAAACATTACTTTGGGGAACCAGCAGTTAGCGTAATGGCTATGTCACTGGACTCCCACGTAGTCTACCGCGGTTCACGTCCTGGACCCGGTGGCTTAAAACTCACGCCAGGCGCGTGTGCGTGCGTGCCCAAGATCCCGAGAGGAGAATGGAGGAGAAGGGATTGCGGCGTGACCATCCCCCCTGGGGGGTGATTTCTCGCTTTCTGTCTCTATGTCTCTCTCTGTCTGTCTGGCGAGCGCACGCGCCCTACAGTGAAAATCTCTCTAAAAAAAAAAAAGACATTACTTTGGTTATTCAGAGATTCCATATAAATTTTAGAATTGCTTTTTCTATTTCTATGAACAATGTTATTAAATGTTTAAAAAGATTGCATTGTTTCTATATAAACATTATAACAATATTCTTCCAATTCATGAACATAGAATATCTTTCTATTGTCTTTTCCTCATTTTTTTTTCATTGGAGAGGTTTTTGCTATAGGGCACATTCGCTTGCCAGACAGACAGAGACAGAGAGACAGAAAGCTAGAAATGACCCCCCCACGGTGGATGGCCACACCACAATCCCTTCTCCTCCATTTACCTCTCAGGATCTTGGGCACGCACACACACGTGCCTGGCATGTTTTAAGCTACTGGGTCCGGGACTCGAACCGTGGCCAACTACATGGGAGTTCAGTGACATAACCATTATGCTAACTGCTGGTCCCTTCCTCATTCTTTTAGTAAGTGTTTTATAGTTTTTAGTATACAGATTTTTCTCTTTCTTGGTTAAATTTACTTTTGTCTTAT